TCTGGTTCTGGTATGGTTTCGGTAGCGGGGGAGGGGCCCCAGGGATGCCTCCTATAAGAAGTTATTAAAAGCTCTTCCAGCTCAGATGGCCAAGGTCGAGCCATTAGAGAGACAACAGATGCACTGCTGCGATTAACGTATGAAGGAACTGATGTAAGACCTGAGCAGAGACCAAGCAGCAGAGAAAAGAGCTTTGCTGGAGAGGTGATAGTGCTGGGGTGAAGATCGCGAGGTTGGTGAGGAAGAAGGGGGAAGAAGGTTGTGCGAGTAGAAGTTCCCCTGCAGCCCACGGGGAGATGGCAGGCTGTCCCCCTGCATGCCCTTGGGCTGCATCGACAGGAGTATGGCCAGCAGGGCGAGGGAGGTGATTCTCCCTCTCTGCTCTCTGGTGAGACCGCACCTGGAGTACTGCCTACAATGATGGCTAGGGAACATTCTTTGTCAGATGTAATAAATATATTAAGATGTAATTAAGCTTAATAGAAATTTACTGGAGTAATTAATTTATTTTATTTAATGTACTGATCTAGCTGAATGCTAGCCTACTAGTTTATTTTATTGTATTTTTAGTAGAAAGGTGCTGAAATGAAAATGTGCTTTGTGAAACAATGTGCTTTCTGGCAACAGGATGTTGATTTGGGCTCACTCCAGGTCTTTGGCTTGTAAATAGATAACAAACTCGAGGAACTAGGGATCTTGCAGTTGGAAATTGACTGAGACCACCTAGACGTGCCACTCAACATTATGCATGCCCAACATTATGTGTGCATCAGAGAAGGGATTAACCAAACCATGGAAGACCTCCACTTGGAGAGGCTTAAAGCACATGGATAAAGAAAAAGCAAATATTTTAATGAATTCCAGGAAATTTGATGCATATATATCTAGTAGGGCAATATAAGTCTCGCCTGTTGTCATTTCTGGAATTCACGACTTTGAGAGCATCTCTCCTGTATCCAGTGCTGCAATAGGGAATGCCTGCCTTGTAACTTCTAAACTTCTAAAACAACAAGTGTTGGAGGGTTCTTTCAGTGACCAAATTTTACAGTAACGCAGCTCTAGAGCCCTCAGCACAGGAAAGGCATGGAGCTGTTGGAAAGGGTCCAGAGAAGGGCCACAAAGATGATCAAAGGAATGGATCATCTCTCCTATGAAGAGAGTTTGGGCTATTGAGCGTGGAGAAGAGAAGGCTCTGAGGAGACCTTACAATGGCCTTCCATTACCTGAAGGGGCCTACAGGAAAGCTGAGGAGGGGCTTTTCACCAGAGAGGTTAGTGATAGGACAAGGGATAATGGTTTTAAACTGAAGTAGGGTAGATTTAGGTTAGACATCAGGAAGAAATTCTTCCCCATGAGGGTAGTAAAGTTCTGGAATAGGTTGCCTAGAGAGGTTGTGGATGCCACCTCCCTGGTGGGGCCAGGTTGGATGAGGCTTTGTGCAACCTAGTCTAGTGGGAGGTGTCCCTGCTTATAGCAGGGAAGTCGAGACCTGATGATCTTTAAGGTCCCTTCCAACCTTAAACATTCTATGTTTCTATGATTCATGGAGAAGCACAGTGGAACATTCCCTGAAGGTGCCAGGAGGAGCAAATGCAGATTTGCAGCCCATAGACTTGAATTTGCAGCAATGAAGAAACCTCTGCCAGGGCAGGTGACTGTTCCCAAAGCAGCCCGTGACTCTGTGTGAAGCCCAGGCTGGAGCAGCTTGGTCCTGAGGGACTGCATATCATAACAAGGACTCATGAAGGACGTTCGTGGAGGACTTTCTCCCATGGGAGTGACCCCGTGGGGAAGCAGGGGAGGACTGTAAGGAATCCTTCTTCCAGAGGAGGAAGGAGCGACAGGAATGACCAGCCTGTGAACTGACTCTAAACCACATCCCCTGTCCCCCTGTGCCGCTGGGGGGAAGGAGGGAGAGAAACTGGGAACAAAGTGATTTGAGCCTGGGAAGAAGCAAGGGGTGTGGTAATGTATGTAAGCTCTGCTCTGTGTGTTGTCTGTGCCCTGTGTGCATTGGATTAGTGTTAAGTTAAATTATTGTTTTTCCCCAAGTTGAGTCAGTTTTGCCCTGGACCTTAATTGGTGAAGAACCCTCTTTGTCCTTGTCTTGACCCATGAGCTTCTAGTTGGCCTTTGTCGTCCCCATCCCAGTGTGTGTGTGTGGGGGGGGAGTTGAGTGAGAGTCCACAGGGCTGGTTCTTTGTTGTCATGTTAGACCCAAACCACAATAGTCACCTTTTAAAGGACTGGGCTATAGAGAACAGTAATGTGTTTAGGTTTTCTTTTATGGAGCAGTAGTTTAGCTTCCAGCTTCACCATTCCTCTACTTAAGGAAAAGATTAACTGCTTGTACTAGGACACAGCCTGCACACGGAGCCTGTCCCAGGAACTTGGCACGAGCTGAGCAGAAGACTGACACCATCTCACTAACCCCCCCTCCCTCTCGCTTTCCCTCTCTCACGGTAGCGGGGGAGGGGCCCCAGGGATGCCTCCTATAAGAAGTTATTAAAAGCTCTTCCAGCTCAGATGGCCAAGGTCGAGCCATTAGAGAGACAACAGATGCACTGCTGCGATTAACGTATGAAGGAACTGATGTAAGACCTGAGCAGAGACCAAGCAGCAGAGAAAAGAGCTTTGCTGGAGAGGTGATAGTGCTGGGGTGAAGATCGCGAGGTTGGTGAGGAAGAAGGGGGAAGAAGGTTGTGCGAGTAGAAGTTCCCCTGCAGCCCACGGGGAGATGGCAGGCTGTCCCCCTGCATGCCCTTGGGCTGCATCGACAGGAGTATGGCCAGCAGGGCGAGGGAGGTGATTCTCCCTCTCTGCTCTCTGGTGAGACCGCACCTGGAGTACTGCCTACAATGATGGCTAGGGAACATTCTTTGTCAGATGTAATAAATATATTAAGATGTAATTAAGCTTAATAGAAATTTACTGGAGTAATTAATTTATTTTATTTAATGTACTGATCTAGCTGAATGCTAGCCTACTAGTTTATTTTATTGTATTTTTAGTAGAAAGGTGCTGAAATGAAAATGTGCTTTGTGAAACAATGTGCTTTCTGGCAACAGGATGTTGATTTGGGCTCACTCCAGGTCTTTGGCTTGTAAATAGATAACAAACTCGAGGAACTAGGGATCTTGCAGTTGGAAATTGACTGAGACCACCTAGACGTGCCACTCAACATTATGCATGCCCAACATTATGTGTGCATCAGAGAAGGGATTAACCAAACCATGGAAGACCTCCACTTGGAGAGGCTTAAAGCACATGGATAAAGAAAAAGCAAATATTTTAATGAATTCCAGGAAATTTGATGCATATATATCTAGTAGGGCAATATAAGTCTCGCCTGTTGTCATTTCTGGAATTCACGACTTTGAGAGCATCTCTCCTGTATCCAGTGCTGCAATAGGGAATGCCTGCCTTGTAACTTCTAAACTTCTAAAACAACAAGTGTTGGAGGGTTCTTTCAGTGACCAAATTTTACAGTAACGCAGCTCTAGAGCCCTTAGCACAGGAAAGGCATGGAGCTGTTGGAAAGGGTCCAGAGAAGGGCCACAAAGATGATCAAAGGAATGGATCATCTCTCCTATGAAGAGAGTTTGGGCTATTGAGCGTGGAGAAGAGAAGGCTCTGAGGAGACCTTACAATGGCCTTCCATTACCTGAAGGGGCCTACAGGAAAGCTGAGGAGGGGCTTTTCACCAGAGAGGTTAGTGATAGGACAAGGGATAATGGTTTTAAACTGAAGTAGGGTAGATTTAGGTTAGACATCAGGAAGAAATTCTTCCCCATGAGGGTAGTAAAGTTCTGGAATAGGTTGCCTAGAGAGGTTGTGGATGCCACCTCCCTGGTGGGGCCAGGTTGGATGAGGCTTTGTGCAACCTAGTCTAGTGGGAGGTGTCCCTGCTTATAGCAGGGAAGTCGAGACCTGATGATCTTTAAGGTCCCTTCCAACCTTAAACATTCTATGTTTCTATGATTCATGGAGAAGCACAGTGGAACATTCCCTGAAGGTGCCAGGAGGAGCAAATGCAGATTTGCAGCCCATAGACTTGAATTTGCAGCAATGAAGAAACCTCTGCCAGGGCAGGTGACTGTTCCCAAAGCAGCCCGTGACTCTGTGTGAAGCCCAGGCTGGAGCAGCTTGGTCCTGAGGGACTGCATATCATAACAAGGACTCATGAAGGACGTTCGTGGAGGACTTTCTCCCATGGGAGTGACCCCGTGGGGAAGCAGGGGAGGACTGTAAGGAATCCTTCTTCCAGAGGAGGAAGGAGCGACAGGAATGACCAGCCTGTGAACTGACTCTAAACCACATCCCCTGTCCCCCTGTGCCGCTGGGGGGAAGGAGGGAGAGAAACTGGGAACAAAGTGATTTGAGCCTGGGAAGAAGCAAGGGGTGTGGTAATGTATGTAAGCTCTGCTCTGTGTGTTGTCTGTGCCCTGTGTGCATTGGATTAGTGTTAAGTTAAATTATTGTTTTTCCCCAAGTTGAGTCAGTTTTGCCCTGGACCTTAATTGGTGAAGAACCCTCTTTGTCCTTGTCTTGACCCATGAGCTTCTAGTTGGCCTTTGTCGTCCCCATCCCAGTGTGTGTGTGTGGGGGGGGAGTTGAGTGAGAGTCCACAGGGCTGGTTCTTTGTTGTCATGTTAGACCCAAACCACAATAGTCACCTTTTAAAGGACTGGGCTATAGAGAACAGTAATGTGTTTAGGTTTTCTTTTATGGAGCAGTAGTTTAGCTTCCAGCTTCACCATTCCTCTACTTAAGGAAAAGATTAACTGCTTGTACTAGGACACAGCCTGCACACGGAGCCTGTCCCAGGAACTTGGCACGAGCTGAGCAGAAGACTGACACCATCTCACTAACCCCCCCTCCCTCTCGCTTTCCCTCTCTCACTCTTTGCCTGTAGTTATTTTTAGGTTTCACTGGTTGAAGCTTGTCCCTTGTGGACACTTACACGCACAAGGCAGGCACACACATATGCTGCAGATACTGCACCTCAGGCGCAGGAGTTAGCCAACAGGTTGTCTTGTTCCATATCAAGGAACAAATTCCGATTTCTTATGACCAAATACTGCCCTTTGAGAGGATGTGCTCAACCACATGGAATTTTGTTGCTTGCAAATTTGACTAGGAGACTTTCAACGGATACAAAAAGCAGTTTACAGAGCAACTTCCTCTTTTCTTGAATTTCCTTTGAGTTTGCAAGATCTTGCTTTCTTTCAGCATTTGCTCTAAGCCAGATTCCCATGCCGACCGCCATAAATGCAGCGGTGGCTCAGCAGACAGCTGCTGGGTCAGTTCCCAGCGCTACCATCAGCACTACAGCTGAAGGTGCAGGTGGGGGCACAGGGGGGATTTACTCTGCCATTATAAGTCGCAACCAGCCCATTATCAGAGTAAAGGAGAAAACCTATGAAGAGCTTCACAAGAAGTGCCTGGAGAAAAACATTCTCTATGAAGATCCTGATTTCCCACCGAATGAGTCCTCCCTCTTCTATAGCCAGAAAATCCCCATCAAGTTCGAGTGGAAAAGACCACGTGTAAGTAACGTGTTTGCTGAGTGCCTTTTTCTTTCTGTAAATGGTAGTATTAACCCTGAACCCACATTTCTGCAGAAAGTGTGTCTTGGGAATGAGCTAGAAATATGTTTCCTTAGAGCTGTCCTGGAAGATAATTAGCTAGGGCTGTGGAAACTCAGTGTGTATATAATGACTAAAATACAGTAGACCAAAATGGAAAAAAAAAAAAAAAAGATGGAAAGAAACATGTAGGAAAAGAAATATGGAAATACGGACTTTCATTTTCTTCTTGCATGTTTAGCTAGGGATTTTTTTTGTCTGAAACTACAAAAGAAACGTCCTAATTCTGCAACAAGTTACATGGTTTACTGGAGCTTTTGAACAGTACCTTATTTCATGTACAAACTTACTTTAGTATTCTGCTGGTTTCCTCATCTTTGAAAATCAAGAGACAGGTGATGGTCTGGAGCATGATTTTATTAAGTTCTTTGTTCCCAGCAATGCTTAATCAACTTGCAAAGGTTGTTTACCATATTATCCACTTACCATGACAGTATTGTTGCAATCACTATGAGGACCCACTCCTGCCTATTAATCCCATTTATTTTTCCTATCTTGTGGGCATTCCCCAGCCAGCCTTCCTCTTATTTCCCACCCTGAGTCACTCTCAGAGTGACTATCAGAGGACTAATTCCACAATTCCTGATGGAATCCCTGTCCTACTGCAGGAAGAGTTCTTTTTTCCGTAATTTCTGCTGGGCAGCCCCTGGGGTGGTGCCTCAGCCTCTACTGTCCCCTGTCTGGCACTGAGGACATGGTTCTGAGGAGCTTCCCCAGCTCCTTCTCTCTGGCAGTTTCTTGCTGCCTTTTGCAGATTTGCTATACTTCCCCAACACCGAAATCTGTGCTTCAATAGCTAAGTCGGTGATAGATAAAAATAACCACCGGAATGTAACTAAAGCAAAAGACCAGGAGCTCTTGTGGGTATTTATTAAAGATGCAGAGGAAAGGCCATGTGCCTTGGTCACAGCAACATGAGCAATGTGAAGGGGAGCAACATGACACCCCCCATCTGCTGTGCCCTGTGCATATGTGCTAGTCATTCCTCCATCGTCACCACGGCTGCATCAGCTCCTGGAAATGCGTGTGAATGAGTTGAATGTAGCTACAACTCAATAATCTTAAAGTGTGGGGATTTCCCCTATTTCTACAGAGAGGAAAGCCATAGAGCAGTACAGTGGACATGTGCCAGCACCCTGGGGCAGACAGGCTGCTAGTGTGCATATCAGAAAACATCAATAGTTTGAAAAGCACAGTGTAATACCACACTTACATTATATAACACAGCATACACAGTTAAAGCCTTTGTGTTTGAGAAAGTTCAGACATCAGTGTCTCTATCCCAAAGACATTTCTTTCAGGCACTTATTAACAAATTTGGAAACTCTATACTTAATGTAGCAGTGTCATGCTGGGGACTGTATAAGACTCAAAATACAACCTAAACATCAAAACAAAAGCTGTCTGTGTTCTTTTGACACGTGTTCAGTCACCTGATGTATCTGTGCTGGCCTTAAATGAGCTTCATGTGTGATGACATGAATCCACATGAGTGGAATATTTTCCAGAAGTTCCAAGTATCATTTGAAGAATCACAAAGTTAATGCAAAGGGCATGTTTTTGCCTGTTACCAATCTTGTAAACAAGCACCAATGATGGAGCCGTTCCTCCCCTGAAGAGTGCTTCTTTGCTGTAGCTCTCAGCATACTGTGCTGACATCTGGAAGGGCTGTGACTCTGCTTTTGCACCTAGGATTTGTCAGGATCCCATAGCAGGTCAGCCACATGGATGATACCCCCCAGGCTTGCTGCGCCTGGTGTGGGCAGCTCCCCCTCCCATGGTGGAGCTGCCAGAACCTTCACCCTCTCCACTTCCCCTGGCAATGGCTGTGTGGTGACTCAGCCTTTTCCTTGGGGCTTCTGCAGTTCATTACTGAGGTGGTGAGCGGTGTTCAGTGTCCCAGCCCCAGAGCTACCCCTTGCTCTCATGCATCTGGCCCTGCATGTTGTCTCTTTGCAATCAGTACTACCTGGAGGTCAGGTCCCTCCTCTATCACCTCCTAGGGACTGGTCTTGCTGTCAGGATGGCTGCCCTGCAGGGCAGGTGTGAGCCTTGGCAGGGAAGCAGTAAGAAAGTCCCTGGAATTCTGCCCAGCCAGTGACTGCTGTGCCACAACATGAATGCACAGAGCGGAACTCCTAATACTCAATTTGGGCAAAAGCCAAATGACAGCCCTGAATGTTTCCCTGAGTAAGGGCTGAAGGATCCATCCGGTGTTTCTGTTCAGAGTATGCATGAGCATAGTTGGGATACAGAGAGGGAAAATCAAATCCCCCTCAGTTAATGCATGATGTCAAATCCTTCTCTCATCCATGGAAGGTAAGAGAAGCCCGAAGAGCTGTTCTCACTTGCACCAGTTTACATCCAGATCAGCAACGGGCTGTGCTCAGGTTTCTTATGGGCCTCAGCCTCCCTGTGCTGTGGGAGCTTCTCTCAGTTGAGAGCAGGGACAAGGTTGCCAGTCTTTGAGAGCTAAGAAAAAATCTGTATTATAGCATAATGCAGAGTATTAAAAGGTCCTGCTGCAGTCCTTTTTGGATCTAATGACACTAGCACATTAACAGGAATGCTCTGCCATGACTTTCAAATGCATTGTTGTCATTCTCCTTGCTCACAGCCAGGAGGTCACAGCATTAACCACCAGGTTCAATGACTTCCCTATGGTGATCCTCTCCATAGCCAAGGAAGTCAGCAGGAGGAGCTTTCCTTTCGTAACAAATACAAATCAAATCAGGTCATCAGACTGGTGGGGTTTGCTTAGAATTGAAATGAATCTGTTGGATCCTTTGCTGCACAATTGAGAAGCTGTTTGAACTTAGTAGTCACAACATGTGTACCTCTGCAGGCAGCATCACAAAGCAAAGATGGCATTTAGTTCCATAAAGGCAGGACATTCAGATGAGGGTAATCTGACTCAGAAACTCTGAAGCCAGCTTGCTGTCTGACAATGTCAAGCTCTGCCTTGAAGTATGCAGCAGAGCCATTGAACAGCATGGTCTAGACCATGAGAGGCTAAGGGAGAAACATGAGGCTACAAATTGTCTGTTGCAGGCCAGACAAGGTGCTTCCTCTACTTGATAGGATCAGTTTAGGGAATTTGCTTAAGAGTGTCATAGTTTATTAAGAGCAGTTTTTACAGAAGTGAATGCCTTTTGCTGCAACAGGATTACCTGAGTAGAGGGTTTCCCTGACACAGAAGAAAAGGTAATGAAAACATAACACAGGTCAAATGTCATTTTTAGTTGCATGCTGCTTTTGCATTTTCCCGTGCTCCCTTGCAACCGACTCATAAGTACCCTCTGCCAACAAGGGAGCATGCAATACTAATTGTTTTTTCCTAGGACTCTGTCTCCCTTGTAATAACTTTGATTCTTTGTAATGAAATTACAGTCCAAACTGAATGAACCCAGTGAACACAAAGGTCCCTTGGATGGTACTAAGGCAGCCTGAAGCACTCAGATCAGAGGAGATTGTTTCTAGATGAATCATTGCATCAGTGAAGTGTAGCCTGTTGGGACTCTCTGTGATAACTTGACGTAAGAGATAAAGAGAAACCCCTTGCTCAGTAAGGAAAACTCGAAGGACAGACCTGCCACGGTATCTTGAACACCAAGTTGTCTTGCTCTGTGGGCTGAGTACTTTTCATCAGCCTTGGAAGACCTTGAAACTTTTCCCTAC